TGAGATGATGGACAAAAGCGTCATGTGCTCGTTTCGCACGCGCGATCCACGGCTAATCTAGACGATCTTCCGCAACACCTTTCGGAAAAGGGCTGGTTCATCGGTGGCGCGCTGTCTTTGCGGTGAATGGCGATCGTCGACGGGAATTGGAGATTTCCTCGAGCTTTCCCTCCGTTTCCGTGTTGCGATATCCGTAACCTGACCCGCGCACATTTCGAGCAACGTCTGAAGGGTAATCTGTGGTCTTTCTTACACGTGTACTGATTCTCGTTCGATCTCTTCTCTTCGGATTCGTGAAATTCCTGGTTTTATCTAGGTATTTACCTATTTATTGGCGGAGGATGTGTTTTAATCTTTGCGCGACAGTTTTTCCTGCGATTCAGTGCTCATGTGAGATATGAGAATAATTTTTTCCCATGTTTATCTACAGTGGAGGACAAAAGTATTCATACATCCTATAAAATGGAATAACTTCTTTAAAATTGGGCCAAACGACTTTAATTTTTTTGAGAAATTAAGAGAATTAATTTACTAGATGACGTGTAAAAAAATTTTTGAGAAAACTGCAATTAGCCGAAATCGCGAACTTACAACTTTTTTATCTGAGCTCGTAATGAAAATTTCAAAAGTACGTTTTGTAGATCTATGTCAATTATACACACGCTGAAAATTTCATCGAAATCGGTTAACGTTGCTATGAGCTACAAACGGTTAACCCTTTGCGATCGGTGCCGCCATAGTGGCGGCATTTCAATTTTGTTCTAGAAATCGGTGTCGCCGTTATGGCGGCATGATCTTTGTTTTGTCAAGTATCATACTTTGGAAAATTACAAAAATTAAAACGTTTTATTTTTATGCACTATAACTAGTATGTATTAAAAAACATATATCAGTTTCAAAATATCCTGTTTTTCAATATCCTTATATATATAATAAATCAACTATGCAAAAATAACTTTAAAAATCTAAATTTGCTCCGACTAGCTGGTAGTCCAACCAGAGAAATGTGCCGATCGCAAAGGGTTAAAGATTGTGAAAATCGCACTATTTCACGACTTTCAGCCTAGAACAGTAATAAATCTGCAGATTCTTACATCTTTCGATGCCTGTCGCTTGTTTCTCCATCCACCGATTTCGATGAAATTACGAACTCAGATAAATCCTCTTCGCGATTCCGACTAATTGCAGTTTTTTCAAAAATTTTTTTACACGTCATCCAGTAAACTAATCTTTCTAACTTCTCAAACGAAACCCAATTTTAAAAAAGTTATCCCATTTTATAGGGTGTATGAATACTTTTGTCCTCCACTGTGTATATATCTATTTATGGAGAATGTGTTTTAACTGTTACCCGACAGTTTTCGAAGCTTCAGACGCGAAAAGTGAACAGTATCGTAACTTACTCTACGCGTTTCCTAAAGGTTCAGTGTAACAACACCGAGACGTAAATTCGGTCTTTAGAGGCTGAAAAGAAGTGTTGAGAAGAAACAGCAACAATTCATTACACGCCACTTATGCTCCCGTCTTAGCCAAGTTTTCCGCCGCGGCGAGAAAAGGGGTTCGTTTCAAAAATAGAATCTCATGAATATGAATCGATGAGTTTTTCCAGCGTGAAGTGCGAGAGACACGCAACCAAGTCTCGCGTCATAAGGCGTAATGTCAAAGGTTCCCACGAATGACTCATAATAAAACGTTCGCCCGGTTTATTACCGCGAATACTCCAGTTGGTGTGTCTAAATGGGGAGGGGTTCTCGCGGTTCATTGAAAGCCGGCGGATAGTTTGTGGAAAGCGACGAAAATGATATTCAGAACGGCGACGGAGCGAGATTTATTCAAATTTTCACGACTAGACGGCTCGTTGGCCGAATCTCTCCCCTCTTTTCAGACGTCTCTCTCTCTCTTTCTTCTGTTTCATTCGTTCCTCTTCGAGTCTCTTGTTTCCTTAACCTTCGTCTTCTTCGTTTCCCCCCGCGCGGTGAGAAATTATGCGGGGGGAACACAAAGGATCTGTTCACGTACGAAGGGCGAGAAAAAGGCAGAACCTGCCACGGGAAAGCTGGAGAGAGGAGTCGGCTGCCAGAGATAAGGACGACCGTAAAGGAGATAAAGATTGTTTGTTTGGTCCAGCCGACAACCATGCTGCCGTGGGACAGTGTTCCCCTTTTTCCTTCGGCCTTCTTGGTCAGCCCTACAGATATCTCTCCGTTTTCTACTCTCGATATTTCTTTTTTTCTCAAGTCTCTTCTTGTAGGTTCTTAGTCCCTGGTTTTTACTCGTTTGGTATTCTATGTGGAATTTTCGGTCGATTTCAGCGTGTCTGAAGCATTTCTCGAGCACCTTTGTCTGTTAGATCTCCTCTGTTTTAATTGTACGAATCGTAAGATGAACGTAACGACTGTAGTAAATTTACTATAATCATTCGGACTTTAAATAATATAAGAATGCAGTTTCTTTTTTATCCTGGGAGAAATGGGGACTGGGTAGGTCGACTCGTCGGTAGCTTTCCAAGTCAAGCTGCATTCCTCGCGACTAGTGTTAAGATGGGTGACCGCCCGCGAAAAAAAAAAAATTTAAAATACTGTACAAAATGAGTACAATAAATAAATTCGAATTATTTAAAAATTTTCACTTGAGAATCGTTCTGAAGTTTCGAATTAGTTTATGTTTCATTTCTTCTGATATCAATGTAAATTATACTGCCCGTTTTCAAGGGAAATACGTAGATATTAAAATATCGTGTTCCTGTTAAAAGGGAAATTAACGTTCGCGTTATCTCGTGATAAGAAATTATCTCTCACGCAGTGTCAGTCTTTGTCGCCGTTAACGATAACAAATTACGCCTCGTTAAGATATCAATTTCTGTCTTAATAGCGTCTTAAAGTCGAGGAACGTGCAAGTCGATCGAGAGAGAGAGAGAGAGGGAGGGTGGTATCTTTCGAATTATTCAAAAAGGCTGCTGATCCTGAAG